GTACATCGCATTTTTTGCGGCATCAACCCATCCGTGAATACTGTCGGGGTATTATTACAGATTAAAACATCGTACTACAGCCATCAGCCTCTCTGGGTTCAGGTTTCTCTCTCAGGGTTAGGTTATCTTGAGATGATTTCGGGGCTTAGTGTCCCCGCGGCCCGGTCCCTTAGCAGCTGTCCCAGGTACCTATTTACTGCTAAGTAACAGGGGCATCAGGGTGAAAAACATTTTGCCCATTTGTCTCCGCCTCCACCGGGGATCGAACCCGGAACCGCAGGACTACGAATCCGAAGCGCTGTCCACCCAGCTGTTAGGCGCCCCTTGGTAAACTATTAAAGAAATTTAATTCCCATTCCAAATACAATTGCCTGGTTCATGTTCCCAGTGTCTCCTTACAAGGATCCCAAGGTTATAATTGATATCCAAGTTAACTTCCAGTAATCATTTACGAGTTCAAGGATTCCCATTCCTACAAGATACTCTTTACAATAGTCTACATAAATATATACCCCCTTCCCCCCAATGATTACTACGTAGTAGTAATGTAACCCTGAGGGACAGTGATATAAATAAGCAAATGTTCTCAATGAAAATAAGAGATCAATTAGAAAGCTAGAACCATGTCACTATATAATTAGCGTTTTCACCGCAAGCTTCACCACACAACGCGAGCAGCCCAACAAATCTCTTACGAGATAGGCCCGATAAGGAGCAAACACGAGCATTCTTATCTAGATCACATTTCAGTGATATCAGAGGTCCCAATCCTGGCTTGTTTCTCGTGACTGGTTGTCAAGGAATTTAGACAATGATTGCTGCCAGCCACCACAGAAGAGACCACAGCTACTACAATTACACTCATCTTGTATACTCATTAACACCCTCTACCACCACTAGGCTTCACCAGCCACATCAAGGAGCATATTAACCACAGTCGTCACCCACATTGGGTCGGACGAATCAGGCATGATCACTATTACCCAAACCTCCACAACACTGCCACCCTCCACCACCACCTTGCCAGATCACACAAGACCATCTCTAAGATAACCTAAATTTCTCCAATTTCTAAAAACAAGGAAGGAAAGCACGCGGCTATGACTACACTATGTAGAGAAAATACAAAAAGGAAAAAAAATTATTTCCAAACTAATAAGAAAATGGGGAAACTATGATATTCCAGTCCACCCCTGGGCCTGGATGGCCCCTGGGCCTGGATGGCCCCTGGGCCTGGATGGCCCCTGGGCCTGGATGGCCCCTGGGCCTGGATGGCCCCTGGGCCTGGATGGCCCCTGGGCCTGGATGGCCCCTGGGCCTGGCCTGGATGGCCCCTGGGCCTGGGCTGGATGGTCCCTGGGCCTGGATGGTCCCTGGGCCTGGATGGTCCCTGGGCCTGGATGGTCCCTGGGCCTGGATGGCCCCTGGGCCTGGATGGCCCCTGGGCCTGGATGGTCCCTGGGCCTGGATGGTCCCTGGGCCTGGATGGTCCCTGGGCCTGGATGGCCCCTGGGCCTGGATGGCCCCTGGGCCTGGATGGTCCCTGGGCCTGGATGGTCCCTGGGCCTGGATGGTCCCTGGGCCTGGATGGTCCCTGGGCCAACATAATTAGGCGGAGGTCCAGACGTCCACTTAATTCTGGACGTCCAGGACGGACTGAAACAACCTCGTTTCTTCATTGTCTGATAAGTGGTTTGGACATCACATCTTCGGCCACGTTATTGTCACTCAAGTGTCGACAAAAGAATTCTAAACTGCAAGACAAATATAACTGACAGTCAAGGGGATCTGACGACATTGGTGAGCAGGTTCCGGAAAGAGACAGATCTTAAGTCAGCCTTGCAAGGTCAAGGTGTGTCAATATGGCACCATTATTCCCCCTCTCAGCACTCAGAGGTGTGTCAATAGGGCACCATTTGGTACCCTTCGAACTTTTCTAAGGTGTGTCAATAGGGCACAGTTTGTCCAGCTCCAAGCGTTGCAATGTTCACCTGTGGCCAGTTTCGCGAGTTCTATTCCCATAGGGCGATCCGACGCACAGTTTTCATGGCGATTTGATCAATAAGGCTGTTGCTGTTAGCGGCCTACAAGCCCATATAGCAATTATAACCCAGCTAATTTCATAATTCGTGCTAGAACCTAGTTCTAAAAGAATGAACCTTTGATCAGCATAACTTCTTAAATTTGTTGTTGGAAGGTTTAATAATCTTTTCTCGGAGATTCTTCAATGGGTCTTTTCTACACCAACTGCCATCTCTCTCTCCAGTATGTTATTAATACCTGCTTGATGGGGTTCTGAGAGTTCTTCTACTCCAAGCCCGGCCTGAGGCCAGGCTTGAACATATTTATGTCAACATAAGGGAAGATTGGTGGAAAATATTAAGAGGGACGGGTTCGAAATCTGAACACGGTGATTTACACAACCCGTTCTCGCACTTTCGTAGTCAATATTGACTTATTAAATACGTGCATATGTAACATACTAATTTATTGCGAATATTTTAGTTTACCTTGAAAAGCTTCATAGAAAACACCGACCTTACCTAACCTTCTTAGTATGTTAAGATAAGCATCTTATTGTAATTACAATTATTACTTAACCTATCATAGGTATAGGTTAAGTAATAATTGTAATTACGAAGCAATAAGATGCTTATCTTAACATACTAAGAAGGTTAGGTAAGGTCGGTGTTTTCTATGAAGCTTTTCAAGGTAAACTAAAATATTCGCAATAAATTAGTATGTTACATATGCACGTATTTAATAAGTCAATATTGACTACGAAAGTGCGAGAACGGGTTGGATTACATCACATGAAACTAGTAGGCACGGCTGGATGTACAAAATCTAAGCAGAGGTGCGTTGAAGAACTATCAACATCAAGGGCCCAAGACTTCAAAACTCTCCAGCTACCCATAAGGAGCATAACTGGCCGACCTCTCACAAGTGTTTAAGAGAACTCGACAAACTCCCCCAAAGGATACCTGATCAACCAGGCTATGATTCATACGTCAGGCTGCGAGCAGCCGCGTCTAACAGCCTGGTTGACCAGACGACCAACCGGGAGGCCTGGTCGGAGACCGGGCCGCGGGGCCGTTAATTCTCGAAACCACCACCGCCTCACACGACTGGAGTCCACGGTTCGAGACTCCTACAGCCCAGGTGACTGGAGAAGCACAGAATCAGATAATTTACAATTTCCGCGACTGTCATAGTGGTTGAGCAATTACCAAAGGCAGGATGGTCCTGCTCTGTAACTTCCACATGGGTTACTTTTATTATTATATTTTAATAGATTTTAAAACGCGAGAGGGAGCGGCCAGGCGCCAGATTCACGAAGCAGTTACACAAGCACTTACGAACGTGTACATCTTTCCTCAATCGTTGACGGCTTTGGTTACACTTATTAAACAGTTTACAAGCATGAAAACTTGCCAACTGTTGTTATTGCTATAAACAGCTCAGAAGCACTCATTAACTGTTTAATAATTGTAAACAAAGCCGCCAAAGACTGAGAATAGATGTACAGGTTCGTAAGTACTTGCGTAACTGCTTCGTGAATCTGGCGCCAGGAGTCGAGTTAGCCCTGAGAGACATATGATACCCTGTGCAAATGAACTTAAGAACACACAAGACTTTAGGAGCCTAATAGGCCCATACTAGGCAGATCTTATTCTCAAACACATTCCATATTTATGTCTAACCTACGCTTGAAGCACGCCAGAGATCCCACCTTCACTATATTATCAGGTAATTAGTTCCGTAAATCCAACCTGTCCACGGACCAAGGCTCGTTAAAACGGCGACCATCCCACAAGACTTCTCAATTTTAACATATTGGGTAATAAATAGATTTGCTTTCAAATATAAATTAATACTATATATCTGAGTTCTATATATAGTTCAGGTTAGGTTAGGTGTGTGTGTTCCGTTTGCGATTAGTTTTATTTGAAGTACGAGGGTGAAGCATTTACAGCGTTGCTAGTCGAAGAGGTTGTTAGCGAAGTGCTATTCCAAAACGTTCGAACGTCATCAGCTGAGAGTTGTATTCACCTAGTTGTGCTTGCAGGGGATGAACCCTGCTCTTTCAGCCCGCCTCTCAACTGTCAATCAACTGTTTCTACTATTTCCCCCCCCCCACACACACAGAAAGCAACCCGTAACTGCTGTCTAACTCCCAGGTACCTATTTACCACTAGGTAACAGGAGCATCAAGGTGAAAAACTCTACCCGATGTTTCTCGCCGGCACCGGGAATCGAACCCCGGACCACATAATTACGTGTACAGCGTGCTGTCCACCCAGCCACCGGCCCCTTATGTGTAAACAGTTTTGCGTTCATAAACGGAGTTTGGCAGCTGGATTAACAGGCACTGGGACTTTGTTGACGACGGACTTGTAAATCAACGTTATTTCTAAACCAGTATGCCAATAACGGTTCACATTAAATGAGCGAAGTTAGAGTTCTTAACCGCTACTAATTAACTAGCTATACTGAACTGGGACGATTCGCTAAATTTAGAGATGCAATTTCGTAATGAGAGGCTAAAATTACAAGCTACCAGCAAACAAACTATTAATGTGCTCAATGAATTACACCAAGCCCTGGTCAAGGATAGGAGGCCTGGTCGACGACCGGGCCGCGGGGACGCTAAGCCCCGGAAGCACCTCAAGGTAAGGCCTTTTTTTTTAGCCCACAACTTCCCATATCTTAGCATAAGCTGACATTTTCAGAGGACAATTTGGTAGCAGCAGAGCATAGATTCTCAAGAATAATGCAGTAGTGTCTGCAAATACAGAAGTTATCAATAAACGATTTACTCTTCAGTCTATACAGTGTAGAAGCAATGGCGATATGGGAGGCAACGGTGGTGTCGGCGGGTGGCGTCTTACAGACGTGGTCCACGCCTTACGGGAGCTCCCTGACGTGACACACCACCTCACCATACGCTAATTACCCCTCGTGAGACACCAAAAGATCAACTGATCACGACAACTTACGCCATTTTGCCGGTGGACGGAGTCAACAGGCAGCAGCAGCAACCCCCCAAGACCGTCTACCAGACACACCAACCCTACCCACACTGCCGCCTCGGGGAACCGATAACATCCACGCGATAACAGCGCTACATCCTGTATCTTATCTGTGTGGAGGCTTCCACGCCCGAATACTTATTGTAGTAGTCGTACAAACCACTACTACAATATAAACGTACAAAACGCAGTCAAATCATAACATTGAACGAAAAGGCAATGTTGTACTCGTGTCTCTGGGTGTACTCATGTCGGAAGACTTTACATTTAAAGAACACAAAGCCGTCACAACTGCAAGAAAAATGACAGGTTGGATAACAAGAACCTTTCACACTAGAGATGCTAAACCGATGATACTTTTCAAGACGCTAGTGCTCTCTAGAGCGGAGTACTGCTGCACAATGACAGCCCTTTTCAAAGTTGGAGAAATTGCTGACCTGGAGAGCGTGCAGAGATCCTTTACTGCTAGAATCTACTCAGTAAAACATCTAAACTACTGGGACCGACTATAGAGCCTAAATCTGTATTCTCTTAAGCGAAGGCGGGAGAGATACATAATAATTTACACGTGGAAAATATTAGAGGGCCTGGTCCCAAACCTGCACACAGAAATAACATCACACGAGACCAGAAGACTTGGCAGGATGTTCAGAATACCCCCGTTGAAAAGCAGAGGTGCAACAGGTACTCAGAGAACTATCAACATCAGAGTTCCGAGACTGTTCAACACGCTTCCACTACACATAAGGGGCATAACTGGCAGACCCCTCACAGTGTTCAAGAGAGAACTCGATAAGCACCTCCAAAGGATACCTGGTCAACCAGGCTGTGACTCACGTCAGGCTGCGAGCAGCCGCGCACAACAGCCTGGTTGACCAGTCGAGCATGGCAGGATGGGCAGGATGAGCAGAATACCTGGGCCTGGAGGAGGCTTGGGCGATGACCGGGCCGCGGGGACGCTACGCCCCGAAACCAAGACAAGGTAACCACAAGGTAGTGTATTACCACATATTGCCCCCCCCCCCTGCACATGATACCACGTTAGTCTATAAAACGTTGGATTACAGACTTATTATACAACAGCAGTTGTAGTGGAAAAGAGGTGAGTAGATACACTTTAGAAGTAGAGGGAAGTTCCCCAACTGGTGAAGGTTATACCAAGTGGAAGACTGACTACCTGGATGTGGGTTCTGGGAGTCTTCTACTCCCCGAGCCCGGCCAGAGAGGCTAGGCCTGACTTGTGAGAGCTTGGTCCACCAGGCTGTTGCTTGGAGTGGCGGGCAGGTTATCTTGAGATGATTTCGGGGCTTACCGTCCCCGCGGCCCGGTTCCTCGACCAGGCCTCCTTTTTGTTACTCATTTCCAGGAAACAGCCCGTAGCAGCTGTCTAACTCCCAGGTACCTATTTACTGCCAGGTGAACAGTCGCATCAGGGTCAAAGAAACTCTGCAGGCAGAGAAAGAAACGCAGGCGCACACATCCACCACAGCCCGGTTGGTCCGGCACTTCTTGAAGAAAACTATCCAGCTTTCTCTTGAAGACGTCCACGGTTGTTCCAGCTTTGACTTTGAAAGGGAACACGGTGATGTACAAGCAACAGGGGAAGGGGTGCGAATAGGGCGAAGGAGGAAAGAGGGATTGGCTGGGAGTCCGGGAGGAAGTTCAGGGGTCACAAATACCCTCATCGTTAGTGACCTTCGGCGGGTGGAGGGTCTGGGTGGAGGGGGTCTGGGTGGAGGGGGTCTGGGTGGAGGTGGGGATGATGGTGGGTGACATACTGGTGGAAGTGACCTAGTAGGAACACTGGCAGATGTGGTGTGGGTGTGGCTCTTGGTGCATGGGGGCGGTGCTACATGCAAGTGACTAAGGACACGTTTTTGTGGGTATGGCAGCTGATGTGGGGGTATGGCCGTGGGTATGATCGTGGGTATGGCCGTGGGTATGTGGTTTTCAGAGGGACTCGCCATGTGGCCTTGAGTATGTATGGATAGAAGCGTGTTTGTAGACACTTATTGCTGCAGTGACCAGGTGTGGGGCTGTGTATGAGGTGTGGTTTATCTGCAGCCGGTTTCAGAGTTCCTCTACTCTCCAAGTGCAACCGTGAGCCAGATTTGTTCGACCCGTGAAAACTTTACTGATACAAGTTGAGCCTTGCAGCATGACCTTTGACAAGCCGCCGGCTTCCCGTAGCTGTCGAGGCCACGAGAGATGGTGCCCTCTGGTAAATTCAGGGAAGTATTATCCGGCACTTCCTGCAGGAACTTATCAAATTGCCTTCAATATTTCCACCTTATCTCTGGTGAAAGGTGAGTTACGAAACAATTGGAATGAGACTGGATGCTCCAGGTATGCTCCAGGCCGGGCTTACGAGCCCTCCAGTTGTATTCTCCGGAGCTTAGGCAAGACGCATTCAAATCGCATGGAAATAAGACGACCTGGACCATACCTGGAGTGGGTTCTGGGAGTTGGTCTACTCCCCAAGCCGAGCCTGGCCCCAAGCCGAGCCTGGCCCCAAGCCGAGCCTGGCCCCAAGCCGAGCCTGGCCCCAAGCACAGCCTGGCCCCAAGCCCAGCCTGGCCCCAAGCCCAGCTCGGGGAGTAGAACCCCTCCAGAGATCCTTTTCCTGGCCAGCTCCAGGTAATATAAATATTTGGCCAGTTGCACACTATGCCTCCAGCTCTGAGCACCACATGGATGTAAAAACGGCTTAGAAAGGTAGGCACCTAAATAAAAATAGTTATCCTCGAGGAGAAACATACCACTGGTGTCCAGCTGTGCTAGTGTTCCCGTGGGATAGCGAGCTGCACACACCAACAACCTGAATGGTCAAGATGATAACTAAAGTCAGATCAGATCTGTGGCTGGGGATCCTCGCCAGTCATCGGCAGGCAAGACGCCACAAAGGCACACTGCAGCGATTAAAAACCGGAATCAACCGTAACAGCGTGACATCGGTTTAGTGAACCGAAAACAAAAGTATCACATACGCTTAGCTTTGTGAGAGATACAATGACACCCACAAAACATAAGAAATAAACAGTCAGTTATTCCAAACTGTTACACAGTGGGAGAGACAGACACAGACCGCCGCCACAACACCACCACCACCACCAGCATCATGCCATGTGCCCAGACTGCCTCGCTCTCCCTTCTCGGTGAAGCAGGTCGAGGTTACCTAGTGGAGACCTCTCCTGGGGGAGAAGAGCCTGGCGCTGCTGGTGGGGGGTGAGACGGGCGCCACCGTGGGAGGGTGAGAGATAGAAAGGAAAAAAAGAAGGGGCCAGATAAAACATAGAAAGAGCAAGGCAGATAAAAAGGGGGAGGAGGGAGAGCTACGAATTACGAAGAAGCTTGAGATTGAACGAGTGAAGAGGTGGGGAAGGGGGAGGAACCCCACACACACAGGCTATTTAACACAAGGGGCACACGCACTAGGGGACACAGGTGGAAACTGAGTGCCCAAATGAGCCACAGAGATATTAGAAAGAACTTTTTTAGTGCCAGAGTGGTTGACAAATGGAATGCATTAGGAAGTGACTCCATACACAGTTTCAAGTGTAGATATGATAGAGCCCAATAGGCGCAGGAACCTGTACACCTGTTGATTGACGGTTGAGAGGCGGGACCAAAGAGCTAAAGCTCAACCCCCGCAAGCACAACTAGGTGAATACACCCCCCCCCCCCCCACCAGGCCTTGGCGGCAACTCGTCAGAGGAGTCAAGTGTACCACTGGAAAGTTCACGACAAAGGTTCATTGTTATGGTGACAGTCATGCCTCAAGGCGATACACAACAACAACCCCACGAGTCCCCCCCCTCCCCGCTCCCCAACACACTCGCCCCCAAATACTATCCGAACTAGCGCCAAAAAGATGTAAAAACAAAAACAAACGCAAAGCACTAGACCTGCAAGTTACAGCCCCGCTCCTGTGCCAGGTAAGTCCACTACGGGCTCACCATAGCCCGTGCTACTTGGAACTTGTTCCGAGTAGCTGAATCTATAACAATAACACTAGACCTGACTTCATGTTCACTGACGCACGCACGTGTCCCAACACGCAAGAGGGATACTAGCCTATCTCCAGACTAAGTCAAAGATTTAGATCCAGTAACTGCGAAATTGTGGGAACAAATGCCTCGCCATTTATTAATGTCTTATTATGAACCCCATACCCATCCTGTGGGCGGTGGTGGAAAGGGTTACACACACACAATGGGCTCGGGGACTGAACCCCACAGTACGTTTAGCTAAGCAAGTGAAGCTTGTGAAGCTGGTTAACAAGTATTTGTTCCGTCTAACTAACCCTCTCCTTTCGACGATTCCGAGGATTAACGTCTCTGCGGCCCGGTTTCTAACGAGGCCTCCTGATTGGCGGTCTCGTCAACCAGGCAAAATTTATATAAAAATTAATGCATGACAATTTAACATCTCCCGTTATATATTTTCATCCATTTCTTTACTTAAATCATGTCAACTTTTCTAGAAAATGTGAATTACGCGTTTTAGTCTCTCCTGTTTGTAATTCCTGGGATAAACATTGCAGGCGATGAGTCACAATAACGTGACTCGACTTGAGAATGGTCCAGGACGGACCGAAACGTCGTCATCCCTTCACCATCTTGTGTGTGGTGTGGTGTGGTCTGGTCAACATTGTCACTCTTCTCGGAACACGTACAAGGGAGTTCATGTCTACTCTAGAGAATGGCTACCACACGGAAAACGCCACAGTGAAAGGAACCACGTAGACAACAATCATACCTGTTGGACCAAACTCTCACAATTCACTACAATAGAATTGCAGAGGTACAATAGACTTCTTACTGTGGCACAGCATTACTCCCAGAACCCCGTCCAGGTACAGTCCAGCTATCCAGGAACAACACTTCTTAATGACATTCCAGAGAAAATGTAATTACCAACGTGAACAGAAAGACGAATAGTATATAATGGAAATGGAAGTGTCCTACACGCAGACGAGTCAAGGGGGTACTAGACTACACGTGACTCCTCCTAGGAAGCTGATGGACAAAGTTCAGACGCATGAATTTGGATTAAGGCTTCAACCTTTTTCCCAGCACCTTTAAGGCACTCGCACCCCCCCCCCCCCCCCAT